ATCTATCTATCTATCTATCTATCTATCTATCTATCTATCTATCACAAATTGCAGTCACATGACCACATGTGGACACTGCAATGAGTTGTAAATATGAGCGGATTTGTCAAGCACCTATGCAGTAATGTGACCATGGGGGTGGGTAGCATGACATTTTATAATAGTTGGAAGTGCTTTGCCTCTTGTAAAATATCCTTTCTGAATGGTCATTAAATGATTAGTCATAACTTGAAAACTACATGTATAAGAGGTGACTATTTTCTTCCACAAGACTTACATGGAACAATGCTGTACTTTTTCTATAACGTTCTACCATTATTCTAGAAAATAACATGATTGCCTTCAATGGTAATTTATTCACACACTAGATGACATTGGAAGATAATAGATATAATAGATACAAACTGTTACTTATTTATTTACCAATATGACACAACACAATTCTTAGTACCAAGAATTCTCTGTGAAGGTAACAATTAAATATATGACACCACTCTAATTCAGGGAAACTTCACTGCTCTAGCACCACTGATCTAGATGTTTTTAGCCCAAACTGAAAGGTTAGAGGGGCCTACCTTTAATGAGCCATTTTTAGGGGCTTTACTAACAATAAAGAAATAGAATGGAAGTTCTAATGTGCACCCTCCATATTAACAAATTTCTTATTTTGAATTGGCTGGATGCAGAAAAAGAATACATGAGTTAACTTTTTAAACTCAAGACAAGCATTTGTTTATTATCACTAACTTTTAGCATCTTATGAGTTTATCCACTGTTTTCTAGATATGTTCTAGGAGACTTTTCTAGATGATAGGTTTACAGAATAGTTTACAGAACCTTTCGTGATTTATGCTTCTGCATACAATTGAAAAATGTAAGAAAAATAAATCTGAAACAATATCTTCCTAATGATTCTTTGGATATCTTTAATCCCAGTTTGTTTTTATCAACATGTTTGTCTTGGCTTTTAATTACTAAATTAATTATTTTTCTTGTTTCTTTTTTATGTATTTGCAGCCATTAATTACTCTAGAAGGGAGTATCACATTTACTTTCTCTACAGAAGGTATGAACATAATCACAGTACAAGTTTCTGCAGGAAATACAATTCTGCAAGACACCAAGATGATTGCAGTATATGGTGAGCCTTGTTTTTTTCACTCTTGTTTATTTATTCCTTAGGTTTCCATGGCCATTTTCCCTTTGCTATGTTCTTGGCTTGGAAAAAAATACACAAGGACAAAAGTATACAAGGCAACTATATGACAATCAGATCAATCAAGAGCTTTGAAGTTGAACTCATATATATTATCTTTTTTAAGTTCAGAGATCTATTTATCTTTCACAAAGTGCATTCTTTGTATTTCACAATAGACTTACACCCAGAGAAATTCTTACTTTTCAGCAATTCACACCTGGGTCATATATTGAAACAGAAATAAATACATGATTTTGACAGAGAGCTGCATTTTGAATTTTTATAAATTTCCCTCAGTGAGCATTTTTGTTGATACAGTGAAATCACCAAGAAAAAAGTTTAAGGTTTAGGGACAAAGAAACAAATCAAGACATCAGGCCTTATTTTGTCCAAAACCTGGGAGGAGAATCTGAATGCTTTGTTCAGTTTCCAAAAATGACCAGGCAACTCATATGGCTTGTGGATCACAGTCGCTCTCTTTTTAACAGTTTATTCTCTGTTCTGTTAGAGGTTTTTTAGTGTTGCATGTAAACATAATAGTTCTCTGATATGAGGAACCCAAATATATTTTTGCCATGGGAAAGAGGATTGGCCCAAGATTAATTTTGCTCTCTGAGCAAAATTCAATGCACAAAAGCTACTAAGTAACACAAAGTTTTATTCTGTTCTATCACAAACAGTCCAGGCAATTTATTCAACAAAAATATAACCAAAACAAAAAAATCTCCAATAAAATATTTATCTTCACTAACTTGAAAAAATATAACCCCCAATTAATAGCAATAGCACTTAGACGGATATACCACTTCACAGTGTTTTACAGCCCTCTCTAAGCACAGTTTAGAGAGTCAGCGTGTTGCCCCAAATAATTCGCTCTTCACTTTTACCGACCTCAGAAGGATGGAAAGCTGTTCCAACCTTGAGCTGCTCAGAATTGAACTCCTGGAGTGAGCAATGAATTAGCCTGAAGTACTGCATTCTAACCACTGCACCATCATAGCTCTGGTCAATTAAAATATACTTAAAATAAAAAATGGTATTTCTCAACCCTCAGTCTATTCAGGCAATTTGAAAAGAACCATAAGTGATGGATTAGGGTTAGGGATAGGGATAGCATTGGTTGAGCAACTGATCTATTAAAACCAGGAAGTGTCTTGATATAAAATATCCCCTAAAACAGGAGTTCAAACTCGCAGTGTCACATTGTCGTCACGTGATGTTTTGTGACTTTTCCTCTTCACTAAACCAGAGGTGGGTGTGGCCAGCATCCAGCCCATGGGCTGTAAGTTTGACACCCCTGTTCTAGAAGAACGGATTCTGTCTTGACAGAATATCCAGGTCTCAATATGGTTGTAAGAGATTCAGATACAGATACAGATAATCAGAGTTGGAAGGGACCTTGTAGGTCATCTAGTCCAACCCCCTGCCCAAGCGGGAGACCCTATACCATTTCTGACAAATGGCAGTCCAATCTCTTCTTGAAAGTCTCAAGTGATGGCACTCCCACAACTTTCGAGGGCAAGCTGTTCCATTGGTTGATTGTTCTCACTGTCAGAAAGTTTCTCCTTATTTCCAGGTTAAATCTCTCCTTGTTCAGTTTCCATCCATTATTCCTTGTCTGGCCTACAGGAGCTTTAGAAAATAGCTTGATCCCTTCCTCCCTGTGGCAACCCCTCAAATATTGGCTATCATGTCTCCCCTGGTCCTTCTCTTTACTAGACTAGCCAAGCCCAGTTCCTATAACCATTCTTCATATGTTTTAGCCTCCCGTCCCCTAATCATCCTGGTTGCTCTTCTCTGTACTTTTTCTAGAGTCTCAACATCTTTTTTATAATGTGGAGACCAAAACTGGATGCAGTACTCTAGGTGTGGTCTTACTAAGGCTTTATAGAGTGGTATTAGTACTTGCCTTGATCTTGACTGTATCCCTCTGTTAATACAACTTAGGATTGCATTAGCTTTTTTGGTGGCTGCTGCACACTGCTGGCTCATATTTAGTTGGTTGTCCACTAAGACACCAAGATCCCTCTCACAGTTACTGCTATTGAGCCTGGTTTCAACCAATCTATATGTGTACTTTTGATTTTTCTTGCCTAAGTGTAGGACTTTACTTTTCTCTATATTGAATTTCATTTTATTAGATATGGCCCAGTGTTCTAGTCTGTCAAGATCCATCTGGATCTTGAGCCTATCTTCTTGGGATTCAAATTAATTGTAAATTAACTATGGCTAAAGGTCCTCTACTTTCTTTAAAATCTTTCCCAAAATGGAAATTTTGGAGACTGGGCTATGTTTCTTTAAAATAGCTGGAGTGAAAGATGGCCTCTGCAGAAGCATTAATAGCATATGTTATGATATGTACAGAATAACCCTTGAGTAACAAGGATATGCATATGGAAATGTTTATGAGATTAGTTGTGAGTAATTATTCAGCCACACACAGATACACTAATTGAGTTAAAGTTTACTTTAAGAAATAGCACAGTCCAATAAATGGTCCTGGTCATATACATTTAACAGTCAAAAGAATATCCAATTACAAAGTTTTCTTACTGGTTGCTTTTGTCATTTACAGTAAACAAAGATATCAAAGTATAAGCACAGCATAAATCTTAGATAGCAACAGAATGTCAGAGAGACAGAATGTCAGAAATACAGAATGTCAGAGATACAGAATGTCAGAGAAAGCAAGCCATGATCTCTAGCTCCCTCTTATGGCAATTCACAATACAATCAACCAATCGGAACATAGTACAAATCAATACAGTAACTTTGTCTTAAAGCTACAAACATACATTGTTGGTTTATATATTGCCAACCCAACTAATTGGTAGACAGATTCCTAACAGCTTAGTTCAAGGTAGGTATGTGACTTCTTCCAACCTAGAGGAGTATGTTTTTACCACACTCCCTTCACTGAATTTATTCCTTAACAGGTTTGACAATCAGTAGGTCTAAGACAGTAGAGAAATACACATATTCACTTTCATCATCACCACACACTTTTGAATATGGGTATGTTCAATCACACGTGTTCATTCACAACTATTCTGTCATTCAGTTCAAGGGAATCTTTAGTAGGAATGTTAGCTTACTGTTTGTCTCTTACTACAAACAGAAACAAAATCACTTAGCCATATAAATGGTTGACCTCAATAGGCGCCTCCATTTTTTTCTACAGTGTATTTTCTATCTGTACATAATTTCAAATGCTGAGCATATTACTTTTCTTAAATCCCCATTGAGTTTGCTCATTCTTTGCAGCCCTACTTTAAAGCAATTGCCATACTGCTTGTCTTATTTTGAGGGATGTTTTCAAGTGTTTCATCTGAATCCTTTCAAAATGCAAACATCCTAATTGCTTTACAAGCTGTCTGTATTTGGAGGAATACTGAAGAAAACACACAAATATACCAAACTACCATATGTGTTTAAAGATATGTAAATGAAGATTTTGTCTAGATTCTTTTTTAAAGTCTCTCCAGTAATTTGGTTCATAGAGCACTAACACTTAATCAGCTGATTACCAATAAGGCTTCAGATTTATCTTCATTTAGAAATTGTTTTGGGTCAGTGAAAAGTTGAAATTGGTTTAATCAGTGGGATTTATACAGAAAACACTATAAATTCAGTGCATAAATCAATGGTTATTTGTTATGTCTGCAGACTTTTTAAATGCCTTAACCCTCTAAAATGGGTGCATAATACAATTACAGCATTACAGTTTCTTAAATGCAGTGGAAAGTTCAACATTTAGGAGCTTTTTCTATAGCGAATTTTTCTTCCTTCTCCTCTCATTCTTCCTCAGCTGTGATTATGTAGACCATTGCAATATAGATAATCCTTGACTCACAATAGTTCAGTTAGGGACCATTCAAAATTATAACAGCATTGAAAAAAGTGACTTATGACCATTGCAATATCCCCAAGGTCACTTGATCAAAATTCAGCTGATTCCTATTTATGATGTTGCAGTGTCACAGGGTCATGTGATCACCATGATAACCTTCTGATAAGCAAAGTCAATGGGGAAGCCAGATTCACTTAACAATGTGTTACTAACTTAACAACGCCAGAGATTCACTTAACAGTTGTGGCAAGAAAAGCCATAAAAATGGGGCAGAATTCATTTAACAACTATCTTATTTAGCAAGACAAATGTTGGACTCAGTTACAATTATAAGTCAATCACTACCTATACTTTAAAAAGATACCTTTGAAATATTTCAATATATAATCCTTTAAAACAGAGGTTGCCAACATTTTGGACCTCAGGGACCACCAAACTCACAAGTTTAAATCCCAGGGACCACTAACTGGTTCTGTTGGTGTGGCCTAATTTGTGGGTGTGGCTTGGTGGTCATGTGACTGGCTGGACATGGCTTGTATGTAAATATTATAAATCTTAATATATTGAATTTTTTATAAAAAAAGCAACTTTTACCCAAAATCAGGCAAAGCAGGCAGGCAGACTGAGTTGCTCACAGAATCATTCAGTGATCTATCTATCTGCCATTGGCTACCTAAGTCTGTCAGATAAAATTTGCTTGCCGTGAGTCTGCACTGAATAGTAGAACCTTCAGCCCTAAGGGAGGTTCGGCTGTGCTTAAAAGCAGAGCCGAAGATCTAAAGACTAGGTAGAAAGTAAGAAATACAACCATTTCCTGCTTTCTAGCTAATCTAAATCTTCTGGCACAATGCTGAACTGCTGATGGTCGGGAAAAAAAGGAAAAATAGCAATTTAGCAGGCAAGTTTGCTGGGTAAGGAGTGAGTGGGCGGGAAAGATTCCGCAGGCCATGTGGGTAGTGCAGCCTTGTGTTCCTGCGCAGCCTAGATTAATTGCTTTGTGGGGGGTGCTCTGGAGATGACATTTCTCTGCGGTCCACCAAAATTTTGTCACGGCCCACCAGTGGGCCATGGCCCACCAGTTCGCAACCATTGCTTTAAAATATGCCAAAGCTCTTTCAAATGTCCTTTTTTTTCATAAGATGTTTGTAGTTAAACTCCAAGTAACTAATTCCAAAATAATGATAAGAAACATATTGCATCCTAGGGATCATGTAAAAAGCTCTTTAGTTGGTGATTTAGGCATAAGCGAAACTTACTGTATTATAGGGCCTCACAAAAGTTTACAATATCAGTTTTCTTATTATGAAAACAAGTTCATTTTACTTATGTTAATAAAAATGACTGGTTATTTCTTTTGTCAGCATTGTTTGTCTGTATACTATAAATATTTTTAAAATTACATTTAATCACACTACATCATTATTTATGAAAAAAATCCAGCCAGGCAAATGATAAATATGTAATCAGTAAATGCATTCATTTGAAAATAATTTGTATTTTCCACTTTAAATACTTTGCTATTAAATAATTAAAAGGCAAAACGTATGCTTTCAATTTTTTTGTGGTGATCCAAGATTTTCTTTTGGTATGCATATTCATGATACCGTGTGCAATTTTTTAACAAGGGGATTGGGGCCTCAAGAAGTCTAAATTCAGCAGTGATAGATATTTGGGGGGATTTATTAGTTAGAATTTAATATATCAATGTCTCCCTCTTTGCCTAAATGTGTACTATGTTAACGTGAGCACCATTTAATACCCTGTGATTCAATGTTTTTTCTTTCCATTTCACTCTTTCTTTTTCTCCCTTCTAGAGCATTTTCAGTCTTTACGCATTTCGTTTTCTCCAAATCTGGATGACTATAATCCAGATATTCCTGAATGGAGACGGGACATTAGTCATGTCATCAAAGCCGTTCTAGTTGAGGTAAAAAAAATGTTGCCATATTTTATTATTAATTTCCATGAATTTATTTGAAAGGAGCGTTTAGAAGAGTCTGCATCCAATTTAAGACACAAGAATGATTTATATAAATACTACTTCCACTTATCAGATTAATATAAACAATTCTCATCCATTTAATTTCAGATTTTTTTAAAAAAATAAAATTGTATTGTTTTTTTTTAACTGAAGCTTGTCACAAATGCCTTGGTCTCACATCATTGTAATTGTATTCTTATGTGACATGCTAAAAATAGAGTTGTATTTCTTTTCTTTACTAGCTGGAGAAGAATGTTTAAAATACATAGTTTGGTGACTTTATCTTGTAATCTCATTTTTCTATGCAGTCTAAGCCTTACATTTTGTCCATATGGGTCATTGCAGTCTGTCCTGTGCCTGTATTATATAATCATGTAGTTCATTAATCATCCTTCATCATACTTTCTTATTGTTATGGTGCAGAATGACATAGATCAAGGGATGTTGATTCCACAAGTCTATTTAGCACACTGGTGCTAAATAGACTTGTGGAATCAATCCATAGTTCTGTTTTACTAATGAAAGTCTGGAATTGATGAGAACAATTCAAGAACGTTATGGAATATAGATTAGGACATTTTCACTCTAAATAGTTTTTAAGTATTGAAGTGTGGTAACAACTTTTCTTGTCAGGATGCGAGTAATATTTTGGTACAAAATTTGAATGTAATAGTTAAGACATAAAAAATGGATAAACATGGGCTACCACATTTAGACTCATCATGATTTTAAGCCTTAGCAGAAAGAGCCATGATGGTGCAGTGGTTAGAATGCAGTATTGCAGGTTAATTATGCTGACTGCTGATTGCCAGCAATTTGGCAGTTCAATTCTCATCAGCTCAAGGTTGACCCTTCTATTCTTTTGAGGTCAGTAAAATGAGGACCCAGATTGTTTGGGGCAATATGCTGAGTCTGTAAACTGCTCAGAAAGGGTTATAAAGCACTGTGAAGTGGTATAAGTCTAAGTGCTATTGCTAAGTGCTATTGCTATCATCAATGAGAATATGACATAATAAATTTATAATATTGATACATGGAATATACATTAAAACTATGCTTTACCATAGGGAGAACATCTTTTTTTAAAACTGGTCTCATAAATAGAAGGGACCTATTTCAGACTTTTTTTAATTCGAGGCTGATGAGTTCCAATGGTTTCCAACCTGGATTCAGGTTGGAGTGGGGGAGGGGAGGGAGTGACATCATTTGTGGTATGATTGATGCAAATTAGATAATGTCATCACACCTTATATCAGATAAAGCATATTTACAACTTTTATGGCTCCCCCTCCCCCTAAAAGTACATTAAGGTACAAGTCTTACTCATAAAATATTATTTCATTCATTTTATATAGCAACCTTTTTGATATGTGACTTTAAGTGAGGTACAAAGTTTTTTAAAAATAGAAGTCTTAAAGGATTTTAATATAATTAACCATTTTTAGCAGAGGTAGTTCATCAGATAGAAATAATAAAGGCAATCAGGATAGTCTTGAAACTGAACATTCCTGACTGAAATGTTGGGGGAAAGGTTTTTAGAGCCTTTTGGTAGACAAGCAGGGTCAGAACAACCAGATTTTGGTGGGGATGTTTGCAGGTGTGTGGCAGAGGTGTGCTGCAATGTATCATATGATAGTGTTTAAAATGATGGAACCCTATCAGATCTTACTGAATAGCAAAGATAATTGGAAACAAAAGTCTCATATAATAACCAGGCACTGGGATTCCTAGATGCGTATATATATATATATATATATATATATATATATATATATATACACACACATACATAATGTACTAGAGATTCTATTTTTAACTGATGTTATTATAACTATCTCAATGCCTAAATTTCTGTGACTACAGAGAGAACCCCTGATTAAGTCTAACATATCAGTGTGGTAGAGTTCCCACTAGTTTTTTTCTATGTCCAGTGCAATCAGACTCTGAGAAGTGCAAGATTTAAACAGAATTGTTATATGACTTTTCAACTCTGTTTATAAAATTTCTAACATTTCTTTCTCTTAAGATTTTGAACTTCAGAATTAATTTATTTCTCACATAGCAATTATTGGGTTATTTTTTGCCTTTCTTTTTTATTTCTATGTTGATTTTGTAAATACCACAGTGTGTGATACAATCTTTGTTCATGTCATTCATGTTTGTTAATTAATTTTCTTTGCAGATAGTTTTAAACTGTATATTTTTAAGTCTGCAAAACCAGAAATTACATTTACCACTGTCAATGATTCCATGGCGAGAAATGCCTATAGGAGCAGGAATATACTGCTTATAAAAAAACTGGAAAATGTATTTTCTTGGTGGAAGATGTAGATTTGAATGGAATTGTATAAGAGCTGTGGTGACTCAGTGGTTAGAATGTAGTATTACAGGCTAATTCTGTTGACTGCATGTTGCCTGAAGTTCAGCAGTTTGAATCTCACCAGCTCAAGGTTGACTCAGCCTTCCATCCTTCTGAGGTCGGTAAATTGAGGATCCAGATTATTGGGGGCAATGTGTTGAATCTATAAACTACTTAGAAAGGACATTATGAAGTAGTATATAAGTCTAAGTGCTATTGCTATTTGATGATGAGACTGAGAGCACAAGAACCAAAAAAAAAAAAAAACCCCAAACCAGTTCTGTGTTTAAAGGTGGTATGCATTTTTCTTTATTAAATATAGTAATAACAAATATTAAATGTTGGAATGATGAGATATAAATGAAATAAATAAAATTAGTTGTATTAATAGTCAGTAAATTTAGAAAAAAATGTAATAGAAGACAAGCAATTCAAGTTTATTTTAGCTGCAGAGACACAACTTTGCCTGTCAGTCTAATGTACTATTACTTTTATTTTCCCCAAATTAGGCAACAATCATTTCTAGTGAACATATTTTGGTAGCAATCCTGCCAGGATTACCCACCTCAGCTGAACTCTTTATTTTGCCCTATAAGAATACCAATGGAGAAAGTAAAGAAACAGCTGAAGATCTGCAACAGGTATCTGGTTTGTTGGCTCTTTTTAGCTGATATAATAATGTTGAACTATTAAGAAATATTCAGTAAGCATTTCTGCTTAATGTAAATGAGATCATATACATCTTGAGATCACATACATACTAGAGATCACATACATCTCGCGTTAATATTAATTTATAGCCATTTGTATTTTTACTTGCATCATTATTATTCATGATTCTGTAACCTTTCAGTTTTCTCTAAATTGTTCCTGCAGTCACTAAATAAGTACACATTAACAAATTTAGACAAAGGGAAAAAAAGACTCAGGATTTCATAGTCTTAACAACCCAGCTTTGTCAACAGCAACTGATGTCCTTATCATTATAAGATTATATTACCACAACATTCAGTTCTTGGAGTTTCCTTGGAAGATCACATGGAAATATTAACTGTGTAGATTGAAGTTACCTATCCACTGGAAGATGATAGCCATTTTAGAGGGTTATTTCTATGCTTGTGTCACTGCAGTTTTAATCAATAGAGTTCAGTTGGTTTAAACCAGTAAACATGGTTTGGATCCCCGTTTTCTTATCTGGATCTAAGCAACCTTAGAATCTACAGCTTAAATAATCTGTTTATTTCAAATTATTCATCTTTTTGGGTGAGGGAGTGGGAAGAAATAAAAAATAGTTGAAATTTTAGATTTCAATGTAACAATATCTATTGAGCACTATTTCTATTTCTACTAGTAGCATACATTTTATAAGACAGGATGAATGAAAGATTCTGACTTCAAAAAGAATTATACACATACATAAATATATTTTTGATTGAGCATTTCTGTAACATGACGGGGAATGTAAAAGTAGACTTCACATTCTATGGTAGAAAGTCTGCAAGCCACAGACAGAATGAAAAAAGGAAATGAGTTGACACATTTTGTTTTATATTCTAAAGAATTCTAACCTAGAAAGGTTTTCATGTTTATTAAGTCTTTATTGCTTTAGAGGAGCCACAATGACTTGGTATTCCCAGTTTCTGGTAATTTTTATATAGTTTTGGTAGAAAGGAATGTGTTAATTTCTTCTCTGTCTACAAAGTCTGTCTACAAAGTCTGTCTACAAAGCCATAATATTAAATTTCTCATTAATGCAAAAATATTTTCATTTGAGTAATGAAATCAGTTTATTACTGTATTACATACATGCTTAATCAGCTAGCCAGTTTTACTTTCATTGACTTTGAACTCTAATAATGATAAATTAATTATTTAAAATATATCTAACCAAGATTATATTTTGTTGGATGCCAGCTCTAATAACTTTATATCATTTGGGTACCTATTGAAAATATTAGAATACCTCTAATAATTTTAGTCTTCCTTATCCCATATGAGAATCTTATGATTCATTAACCACGTGGGTAACTTTTTACCCTGAAAGATATAGTATTTAATCATTTTACAAATTAATAATAATAATAGTAATAGTAATAGTAATAGTAATAAAAACAACAGAAGGTTTATATGTGCAGAAGATATATGTCACTGGAAACAGCAATAATTTGATTTTTCAGCTGAAATAAGATTATCTATATTTAAACGTTTTTCATTTAGCTGCAAACTTAAGCTTTAAAATTTCTGTGTTGATGATGAGCGTATAAAATTTGTAACTCATGAACCTGAACAAATTTTAGTTCAGGCATTTTACTTTTCCTGTAAGAATATGTCAAGCACTATTTATTGTTGATATGTATTTTATACTTAACAAAAATGTTATCAGTACAATGCTGATAGACAATCTTTAGCTGGATTGATTGAGTGATTGTGTATCATTGGGTAACCTAGTGATCACATAGGTAGATTTTCTCCATGCTTATCTGTCCCTAACCTAGTCCTTTACGTCTTCCAATAGTGCACTAATAACTTTATTGTTGATTAACTTCTTCTCTTTCCTTCCATATTTCTCAGCTTCTCCAGATAGCTAGATATACAGCATAAGATCTCAAAAATGCCATAATTTAAGTCTGGTCATTTGTGCTATGAGTGAGAAGTCTGGGTTAATTTATCCAATTATTCATATTTGTTTAAACAGATGTAATAGTATGTAGGAAAACCTTGGGAGATGGGCAAAGAGATGCTACTTAGGGAACTCTTAGGTAAGTGTCATCATAGCCCCCAGCTGCATAATGAGTACAACATAGTAGCAGAGGTAGTATTCAGCAGGTTCTGACCAGTTCTGGAGAACCGGTAGCAGAAATTTTGAATTGTTTGGAGAACCAACAAATACCACCTCTGACTGGCCCTACCCCCATCTATTCTCTGCCTCCTGAGTCCCAGCTGATTGGCTGTGTCTTCTTGTGTTGCCCTGCACAGGAGAATGAAGCTGCAAATCAGGTTAGTGATGAGGAGGGAATGGGATTTTGCAGTAATCTTGCCCCAGGAGTGGGGAGGAAATGGATATTTTACAGTATCCTTCCCCTGCCATGCCCACCAAGCCATGTCCATATAACCGGTAGTAAAAAAATTTGAACCCCACCACTGCATAGTATGAATTTTACTTTCAGACTTGCAAGATTGATGTCAGCCTTACCAGTATGTCATCTCTCCCAGGTAAATCACGCAGGAAACAGGACTTATTAACTTATTTTATTTTATTTTATTTTAAGCCTGCTTTAACAGAATCTTGCAAGTCTAAAGTACAGACTTCCTGCTCGCAATTTTAACTACTTGATACATTAGGGTGGATCCTTCCTTGTTTTTTTCTTTCCTTTGTTCAGCCACTGATTGCTACTGCCTCTTTTGTCTGATTTATCTGTTTTCTTGGCAGCAACTTTTCTCCTTGATCCCCAAGTCCTCCCCACATTCAATTTCACGGATAGTCCAGACAGGAAGATAAGCAGATATTCTACTTTATTGTAAAGCTACATTAAGAGAAACTTGCAGGTTTGAAAATTCTCCCACTGTCATCTTTACATCTTGATTATGTAGGGATAGTTAGTTCTCTACCATTTGCTTCACGCATTATGCTATCTCTTGCCTGTCCATTTTCAAAGCAGCATCTCTTCACCCAGTCTCCTAAGGTCTTTCCCACATAAAAATACAAATATTCTCAGGATATTCACACCAGTCTAGGTATTCTCCAATATCAATGTTCAAAAGTGTCAATACACTTTCTATCGTGCTTCTTCGAAGTCCAGCCACTCATACCTTCACACTCCAGCCAAATCCAGAAAGATTCTGTTAAATCAGACTGAAATCAGCCCAGTTCATTGTGCTTAGTGTTGAAGTTTATGCTCAGTAGCCAGAACAATACATTAAAAGTATTAGAATATCTGTAGTGATTTTATTCCTTCTTTATCCCAGATGAGATTCTTATGGTACATTAAACAAGAGAATAACTTTCCACCCTGAAAAACATAGTTTTAAATAGGTTTTATTCCTAATGAATTGGTGAATGTGTGCTAATGATCTAATAAGCTTCCTATTGAAGCAGCTTCCATCTGACATAAAACACAGTCCTGACTTCATAGTACTAATAGCAGTAGCACTTAGATTTATATACTGCTTTACAGTGCTTTACTGCCTCTCTAAGCAGTTTACCGAGTCAGCATATTGCCCCCAACAATATGGGTCCTCATTTTATCCACCTCAAAAGGATGGAAGACTCAGTCAGTCTTAAGCCTGGTGAGATTTATACTACTAATCTTAATTTATTGTATAAGTCACAACATTAATGCATCTATTTTGCTGAAGTTTCTAATCCATGATTTACAATGAAATTCTGTGTTTATTTAATATTTTAAAATATTTTAATATTGGAAAAGATAATAAAAAAGCAGAGCTGCCAACATCTAGAAACAAGCAAATTAATAACTAGCAGTCAGCACGGATTTGTTAAAAACAGATAATGCCAAACCAATCTTATTTCATTCTTCACATAGTGACTAAATTAGTAGACCAGCGAAATACTGTGGACATAATATATTTTGATTTGTTATGTCTCACCTGGACAAACAAAGTAATAAGTCCAAATTTCCAACTGAAACACAAATAAGCAGGCAAGTCTGGTAATTACAGGGTTAAATTCCTTAAGCCGACAACATTCTTGGCAGTCTCACACAAGCTGTCTGCCAAGTCCGATAAGGAAGCAGGAACATAAATCACAAGCTGTCACCACACACACAGGATAATTCTGAAGTTTCTCTCACTAAATAACACATTGTCCCGAACAAGAACCCAGAGCTAACCCACCCACTTTTATTCCCTGTGGGGCGTGTCAGTCTCTCATCTCAGTCTCTGATTTGTCCTTTCTTTCTGTGTTGCATCTCACACTTTTGCCTGCGTCTTTGCCTCGCATCAAACCAACATTCCTCAGCCAGAGGCTCTGATACGCCCTCCTGGTTATCTGCCGACACCTGAGGCACAACCAGGGAGGAAGGTCTTGCCGAAGAGGAAAGTCCTGGGGAGGAAGGCAATTCCAAATCCTCTAACAAAGCAGGCTCAAACCTCAGAGCCAAATCCTCCTCTTCCTCATTATCCAAGTCTGTGTCCTCTAACAGAGCAGGCTCAAACCTCCGAGTCACAACACCTTTGTATCTTTTTTCAAATCTTCTTTAAAAATTTAAGTTACATCTTTACAGTTATAACATTCATTTTCTAACCTCTATTTTATAACACCTACCTATTTTCAATCGAATTCTGCTTGGTACATTCCCATAAAATACACACTAAATTCTCAAAAGAAAAAAGTATATATGTATATATATATATATCTGTGTATATATGTATAAAAATAGTAAATGGAATAATTATTCTATTCAAGTACAGCTCTGCCATTAATATTAATAACAATATTTTACATTTCTTTTTCTTTTAACAAACATTACCAGTAATATCAGTTGTCTTTCACTTTAATCACCTATATTTCATATTTTACTTATTACTGTTTTTAAATAAAAAACCAAACAATAGTTAGTAACAGTAGTCAATAAAGTTATTCTTATTCAAGTTCATCTTGTCAACTGATAAAAATCTTCCA